CTTAAACTTTTAAGCTGGATGGTACTTATGATTGTGGTTAAAGTTCTTGAATGAAGTTAGAATTGCCATTTGAAATAAAATGACACGTTATATGCATCTGCATGCTTTTTCACACCCCACCATAGGCATGCACATGGCATACAAGCGCTCAAGATCAAAGCTCCTTGGAGGAAGCCATTGGGATCAACTTCATAAGGCTGCCCAGATTAAATTCTCAAGGCTTCCCGGACCATATGTCTCAATATAATACTCTCACAGAAAGCAAGCCGACTAGTTTTGGTGATCTTCCGCTTGGAAGATTTACGTCTAGTTTCCTTAGCCTAGGTTGTCATCCGTATCCCCCTTCTAGGAGGATTTATGGATATATGACGTCTCAACTCAAGATCAGCCTTTTAGCAAGTCTCCTATGTTACCACCCTTCATTTCAAATAATACATAACAATCTGTTCAAACTATCTGGCTACCATTGCCTTCCTTGTCGTTGATCAGAGTCTCCTCTAGCTATCTTGGGGTCCTCTTGGGACCTTCTTTGATGTTGTCTTTATTGTTGCCCTCCTTGAACAACTCGCCTTTCTCAACGGCTCCTCTACATCAACTTCTTTCTAGCCATCTCTCTTAGTGCATTCCTTGGACGCCTCGTCAACTTTCCTAAGGAAGTTAGCCTCCTCAACAAATCACCCTCTCCGATTCTAGGAGCTTGGTTTCCACAATGAATCCTAAGAAGTCGGCCCCTCAACAACTTCTCCATGTCACCCTCCTTGGCATCTCGTCTAGCTTGACCACTTCACTAAGTCAGCCTCTTTTAATTTATACCATACTTCTTGTTGACAGCTCCATGTTAGCCTCCTTTGTGCCTCCTCTAGCTTGGCCTCCCCAGCAAATCAGCCTCCTTCAATCGAAACCCCCTCTCATCCACTTCTTCAAGATGGCCACTTCTCATCAAATTGTCCAATTTAGCCTCTTTGGCAACTCTTTTAATTGGGCCTCCCTTGCAAGTTAACCTCACCCAAAAAATCAACTATTTTGCCCGACATTAGTGGCATCATTTCCTTTCTTCTATCCACATAGTTCTTGCCTTATCATAGAGCTTAACATATTTAAAGGACATTCCACTCGGCAGATAACATCTGAGGAACACTAGAACAAAAATTTCTTAAAAAAATGAAAAAAGTAAATAAGTTACCAAAGTAAGAATTTTCTTTAATACTTAACCAAGTTTTCATAACCACACTAGACTTCGTTGATCGACCATGCATGCCAGCACCAGAAGATTTGAAAAAAAGTAACTCGCCATCTACATAATTCTCCACATGGCTCCATTTGCCTAGCGCTATTGACATTCACCTTATGGTACGTTTGTTTAGCTCTATCAGCTCAACTTGGACATTGACATGATTACATTCATTGCCATTAAAGCCAAAACCATCACATAAGCTGCAGCCACTATCCCAAAGATGCCAAGCAACTTGACCTTCACTTTATTTTCTACTAGCAGGGGATCATCTAGCAGCCACCCAAATTGGCAAAAGAACATCTGACGCAATGCAAAGGAACTCTCATGTCATCACCAATAATGCTAACTATTATGTAACTTATTCAGTTTTCCATTTCATTTTTTCTTAACAACTTCCAATAAGTTAGTCAATTGTTCATGCCATCATGACTAGGCAACATATTACTTTTTTATGCCTGCAGGTTAGTCTACCCAACATGCCAAGAGCTTTTGGCTTGCCTTGTCATATAAAATTTGATTTCTAAAGCCACCATGACTAATTGCATAGGTTGCCAGAAAAAGAAAAAGATAGGAGGTTCTCTATTTCTCTTCCATCCATCAATTGTAGAGTCAACTATTGTTTTATTGATGGTTCTGATGAGACAATTATTGGATGGTGTTGTGCCTTGCCTACAAGCCAACCTAGCCCCTTTTCCCAAATGGTTCCATGCCATCTAACAAGTCAGCCAACCTGGCATGACAAGATACTTGCAAATTCATTCAATTCATTAGGCCTTGCTATCCATTCATAATCCATTCTTGGCATGAAAGTAGGTTCCAATAGGAAGGAAACACTACCAGCTGGCCCTAATTGGACTTTGGAAATCAAACAAAGTTCCTAAATATTTTCACATCACATAAAGATTGTACACGACAACTTATTGAGATTAGAGCTCTCATAAGAGGAGCCCTTATGGACTTGATGAATAGATGTGATACCATCCTAACAAGCAAGTCGCTCAGCTTTGGTGATCTTTCACTCAAGATTTTCTTTTGCTATGCTACTTCCTGAGCCTCCCTAGGAGGTTTGATTAGATATGGTGATTTGCTTCTAGATCAACTCCCAATTAATTCTCCAGTATCGTCTCTTTCTTCTCCCACAATTAAGAATTTTCTCTAACCAATTGGTACCTTCTTTTTCTTTTCCTCCCTCATCGTTGCTCATGATCTCCGGTAGCTACTTGATGACGTTTTCTCGATAATCCACCCTTATTGGTATCTTCCCTAGAAGAACTTTCCTTCCTCGACAACTCCCTAGAAAGTCATTCTTATTGACACCCTCCTATTTGGTATTTGACAATTTTCTCCAAGTTGTCCCTTGTGATGCTTCCTTGGGACCTCGCTGACTTCCTCTAGGGAAGTCAGCATTCTCAACATTTTTCTCTACTCGCCGACACCAAGAGCTCTGCCTCCGCAATGACTATTATGAAATTCGTCTCTTCAAGTCAGCCCTCTTGGAGTCTTCTATAAGTATGCCTTCTCAGTGTCTTCTCTAGCTTGACCTTCCTCAACAAGTCAGCCTCCTTTAATCGAAACTCGACCCTCATAAACTTCTCAAATTCTTCCTATGTGGTGCCTCCTCTAGTATCACTTTTGTGATAAGTTGGACCCTTTTGACTGAAACTTGATCCCTTGCCGACTTTCACAACAAGTCGGGTTCCTCTAACTTGATCTCCCCATCAAATATGTCTCCTTCGACCAAAGCTCAACCCCTTGCCAACTTCTCCAAGTTGGTGTTTCCTCATATTTGGCCTCCCCAACAATTTCGCCTCCCCAGCTATTCATCTTCCTTTGATGAGAACTCAGTCCCTTCACCAGGTTCCTCGAGTTGGCCCTATTGTCGACTTCTCCAAATCGACCTCCTCTGTCTTGTCAACTCGAGACATCCCATCAAGCCTCTAATACTATGTCTTTTGATCTAATCATTCCTATTGTGATACATGCTCATCATACATAGCCGGCTCATTATTTACTTTAATAACTTAGTCATATTTACAATTTCACTAGAATAGCTCGTCCCCTCATCATATTCCCCGAGTTGGCCCTGTTGGTGACTTCTCCGAGTCAGTCTCCTTTGTCTGGTCAACTCGAGACATCCCATCACCTGCTCATCATTTACCTTAGTAACTCTTTGTCATGTTTACAATTTAAATTAGAATAGGTCGTCCCCACTACTTGTGTTGCCTCTTTATGTCATTCTCAGGGTCCAAACATTAGCTTCCACCTGGCATATGATCTTCTCTCAACTCATCATGTGAACCACGTCTTGTACTGCATCTAGGGATGATTGTGTATGATCTGCTCGTCGTCCACCTTAGCACTGCTTATAAGCACGAGATTGCCTATAAATTCCCCATTTCTCTCCTTTGAGAGGGTTTTTATTATTTATTTTTACTTTGTTAAGGCCCAAACTCCTGTAAAAAAGGAAAGGAGTCATCATTCTTAATCACGAATGCTAGGGTGGACCTTCCATATACCATGTACTTATATCCTTTCTAATGGACTTCATCCTTTTGATGTATTGTGGACATAGGCTATAAAGCCAAACCATACACATAGTGGACTTCGTATGTCATTTTTCTGTATCTCTACCTCTTCCTCCACAGAAACATATCTTCACTCATTAGAGACCCGCTTATGTCATCTCCACAAACTATTCACTGGCTTTACCTCCATACTTTTCTCCTCCAAGCCAGGAGGTAGCTCAGGCTGAAGGCTTGCCCTACTCTCTGGTGCCACAGGATGTTATCCTTGTGCTGGAACAATTCTTGCTCTTCATAGTAGTCAACATATATGATAATTTGTGTTATTCAGAAGATTTAAAGAATTGAATTGATCTTCAAAATCTTGTTATGATTTCTAGAGGTAGAATATATACTTTGTAGTATACTGCATGCTTGATCATGTTGTTTTCCACTACATTCACAATTTTATTCAGTACGGGTACAATGTTTACTAAGCTTTCGTCATAACCTAAAAATTTAATCATGTGGTCCCAATATTGGAAAAAGATTTTAGTGTACATCCGACAGCCAGATTTTGGAATATTTAACCTTCCACAATAAGGAAGAAATTACATGGATGGGTCTTTTGAACTATTGTGGTATGTGTTTTTAATTTACGAAATCAAAATACTTCAAAAAAAGAAAAGAAAAACTTTTTCTGCTAGAATGTAAAAGTAACCGAATTGGCATGACATCATCACCACTGCGGGCAAGGCATTTTGCAAATAATACGGTTATATCAAACTCTAATTTAATAACTACTTTAATATAAAGAGAAGCAGTTGATTTAAGAGACCTACATAGGAGTTGTGGATTTGTGCATTCTACTTAGTTTATAAGCAAGTAAATTACTTGAACATATAGATGGAAAAGGAAGAGGAAGTCAGTATTGAATTTTAAAACTATATCCAACTCGTCATATTCATGCATATCTACTTTACAAATCACCATTTGAGATGAATGGAGGAATGTTCAATCATACAAAATTTATGATTCACAATATGATTACATGTGGCATCTATAATTTGAATATTGCAGTTACATTTAGAATAAAATGATGTTGATTCACTTTTAAAGTTACTAATTACATTCTATCTTGTTACGTTCTTAAATCTCTATCTTAATAGGATCACTTTCTTACATTTTCAAGTGACTCTCGATCTGCTGGATATCTTAAACTTTATTACAGTAAATATGTTGGGTTTAACTAACTAATTGTGTAGGTTTGTTTGGCCACGTGATCTTTGCTATGTGCGCTACTGGAGACGTAATGATGATGGGAGTTATGGTGAGTCTTTTAATTGTTTCCCCACCTTTCCTTTTCTTTTTGCGGGCACATTCTTTTAGTATAAAAGGTCTTTTATTTTTATTCATTTGTGCAGTTGTGCTATTTCGGTCTAGGGAGCATCCAAATTGCGGTCCACAACCAGGATTTGTTAGGGCCCATATTGAGAGTAACTTCCATTTTTACCTTCATAATCTAATGTTAAGGGCTTTGGCAAAATTATGATTTCCTGAAACTGTTATTTGCAATAATTTGTTTATTTTGCTTTGTTTCTTCTTTTTGTGTAGGTGGTGGATTCAAATTTTCTCCTCTAAAATCACGAAACGGGAGAACTCGAACGCAAGTACAACATCTCATGCAAATTGATTTGAAAGGATGGGGTGTTGGATATTTTCCATCATTTCAGCAACATTGTTTACTTCAGATGTTGAACAGCGTAGCTGGTACTGCTTGTCTCCACTAGTAGCCCAATTTTGAAGTTTATACTTCTAATATAATTGATCAAACAACAGTTGCATTATTATTTTAATTGTTTTTCTTTCCATTTTAGCCATCTTCTAGGTCGCTCAAACACCTTCAGTGCTCTAATTGTTAAAAGGATACTTATTTTTCTATGCCTTAGTAATATAATTGATGTATTTGTTCTTGCTGCATCTTGATGAATATTCCTTTTTGTCATTTGAAAATTTGTTTCATCTTCTGTAGGATTACGTGAATGGTTTTCCCAAACAGATGAAACCCACACAGTCCCAAGTATACCAGTTATGATGAGTATTGCGTCGGATTCAGTTTCTTCCAAGAAGGGAAGGAGAAGCGAGGACAACTCTACGCAGTCAGTTCCTTTGGATCAATTGCATTCTGCTGGTGGAAATTCTGTATTATTGGATGAAGAATCTGACGAGGATGAAGATTACCAAAGTCCTGAGCCTGAAGATGAGGTTGGTAGACTTCAAGTTTATAATGCATTTTTTTTCTCAAACCTATTTGCAAAAGTGAAAATTTATGCCCTGCCTTTGGCAGCTGGAGTCTGTTAAGGCTGAGAATGCTATGAAGCAAGCAGGTTTGTGAGATATCCTCTTGTGGTTTATGCCGGGAGTCAGAAGCCACATGAAGAGTGTCTAAACTGTAATTTTTTCAATGATATGTTCAGATGAGGATCCATTGGATCAGCTTGATTTGTCATGCTTCTCTGGCAATTTACGACGTGATGACCGTGAGAATAGTCGAGATTGTTGGAGAATACCTGATGGAAACAACTTCAAAGTCCGTAGCAAGACTTTCTGTTATAACAAAACAAAGGTCTATAATTACCTTATTTGATAGTCATACTTTTTTTATGCTCGAGCTTGGGAATTCCTTTTTCAGCTTCTCTTGATAATGGAATTAGTTGTTTGTTTTGCAGATACCTGCAGGAAAACCTCTTATGGAGCTTGTAGCAGTTGATTGGTTCAAGGATGTGAAAAGGATTGACCATGTTGCGAGGAGACGAGGCTGTGCGGTTCAGGTAAGCTGAAACCTAGTTTCATGGGTTTTCTATAATCTAGTTTTTTTTCCCCTTCACAAAAAAAAAAGTTTTTTTTTTTCCCCTTCATTTTTCTTTATGAAATATGATGGGGGGTATATGATTCTGGAATGTTAATTTATTATATTTTCAGATGGTTGTGAATTTCATCTGCTAGATGTAAATTGATATTCTTTTGATTGGATGGAGTCATTGTTATTAAATATGGTTTACGATTTTTTTATCTGTTTGGGTCTTACGTGAGTTTTCTGTATCGGTAGATAAGATGAAATAATGTGGTTATAGATTTATCTTTGCTCATCATGTTATTCTTACAAACTTTCTTGCATCTTGGTGAAGCAACAATATAGCAGCTTCATGCTAGCCTCAAATACTCATTATTTTTAGGGAAAAAATAAACTTCACATTTTCACTTTTTGAAACTTTAAAGTGATTTGCGAAATGAAGATTCAGGTCTATTAGTTTATTGTTATGCCGGTCCAGCATGGACCGGCTCAACCGGACCGGCTCTCAACCTGGACCGGCCTAGCCGCTCCGGGTTTTCTCCAGGCGGAGACGGCCCAGAGACCAGGCGGAAGGAGGAAAGGGGGCTGGGGTGGGGTCCACTTGCAATTCAAACATGGTTTAAGTGTTTTGGGAGGGAGAAGGAATGGTAGAGAAGTCCTTTTGCTTTTATTTTGTATTAGATTGTATTAATAGGGAGTTATGAGAGGATTAGGTTTTCATCTTGATTTTGAAAAGAGTTGTGTTCTAGGGTTTCTTGCTTGGGCTCTTGGCATTGCCGGAGATTGTGGGAGAGTTGTTCTTCCTCTCGAATTGAAGAACATTGTATCTTGTTTTGGCTTTGATCGTCTTCTAGTGGAATACAATTGTTTGCTATTGTTTTTCCAACGTTTTCTCCCTATTTTCTCAGTGTTTCCACTGTTTGGTGGCTGTTTTCTATTGAAAACAGCGGAATATTTGTGTTTCGGCGAAGATCCGATAGGAATCACTTGGAATATTCAAGTGGTACCTATCATTTATCTGTGGAATTATCTTATTGTCAAGTAAACTTATTATTCTAGAAAGAGTTTATCATTTTGTTTTTGGTGTTAGTGTCACGTTATTTGTATCTATTTTGCCAACAACTAGCCAAGTTGTCTTTTGCATGTTATCTATGCTTTCCACATTGAGGTATGATAATACAGTTAATGCACTTTTAGTAAAAAACTACATAAAAATTCCAGACTTGCATACTTTTTCATATTCATTACCTGCAAAGTTATGGTGCAAAATGTTAGCTATTAAAAGAGAAGCATAATATTAAGTTAAGCATTGCTGAGATGAGGATGTTGATGAGTGGCTTTACACTTAGATATAGAATGCGAAATAAGTACATGCGTGAAAAGGTTGGAGTTGCTCCAGTGGCAGGTAAGACTAGAGAGAGTTGCTTTAGAATGCTTGATCATATAAAACATCTGCATTCTGATGACTTTGTTAGAAAAGTAGATGTATTAGATCTGACCTTTGTTAAGAAAGATAGAGGTTGACCTAAAAGGACTTGGTTAAAAATTATTAAAAATGAGTTTTTCTTTATTAGATTTAAATGAGAATTTGACTCTTAATAGGGCTCAATGGAAAATAGAGATTCATATAGCCGACCCCATGTAGTGGGTGTTAACCTCTGTATAAACAAAACAAGAGGGAAGAAACCAAAAAAATCTAGCATGCATACCTCTTGGCCATCAGATCCAAGAATCCCGCTGAATTACTGTGCACTCGGCGCCGCTCGCATCGCTTCCCGCGATCCCTGCTGAAATCCAGCCCAAATCTTCCTATTAAGGAATTTTGACATGGCTAGTTGAAATATGGTACAACTTAGCCTCCTTTGTTCCGATCTATAATTTGCAGTGTTGACCTCTATGGACTAATTGCTAACCTGGTTAATTTTTTATCATGTTGGGCTACTAGTCCTAAGTCTGACCAGTTTTAACCATAAACTGTAAGCTTGAACCCAACCAAGTTTAGCCAGAAACTAAAATATACGTGTACAGCTGAATTTGAAACCTTAAAACCCAATTAATGGAGATTTATGTCAGCAGTGCTAAACTGCATTCTTTTGTACCTTCGGCTCTTCTTCATTCGATGGGAATGCCTACTGGGGAAAAAAAAGAGGCAACCTTAGTTCTCTTTTCTAGCCAATGACACTTGTGTTGAGGGCGAACTTAACTACAATGTAATCCAGATGATGAAGTATAACAACTAATGGCATGCTTTGGATTTCTTGTAGTTTTACGATTAGTTGCAGCATGTAACTCTATTTTTAAAGAAACAAGTTCTCAAAGCGTCAAAGTCAAGAAAGTTTACATAAAAGCAGGCTTTTGTAGAGTTAAGTATTTGAAGTCTGAGGCAGAATACTTTCTTATATAATTTCTCTTAAATTTGTTTAATTTTAATTGTGTAAGTTTGGTGTACATATCAGGACCTCGCCTATATGAGGGCTTATGTCTATTAAGAATTTAGTTGTTTTTTTATACTTTTTTTTGCCCCTTTTTTTATTTTTATGGACGAATGCTTCAGCTGGCATTGCAACCGTTTATGGGACGGATACTTTTGCATTTAAATCTTGTGATAAGTTATTCTTTTTTATTTGCGCTGATGCAGGTTGCCTCTGAGAAAGGACTGTTCACGTTCGTCATAAATGTTCAAGTGAGTATTTGTTTTCTTCTCTTATTATCCATTTCTGCATGGGATTAATATGTCATGGTTCGTTTATTTCTCTACATTTCTCTTTAATCTTTATCCATTCCTGGATGGGAATAAAATGTCATGGTTCGGTTTCTTCAACCTTTTTTTTTCCTAATTATTTACTTCCTTTACTACGAGTTCATGTGGTCCAAGTGACATTGCTATTAGCTATGCTTACCTTGTAGGAATACCTATTTGATTGAATAGAAGTAATAATTCAACATGCAATCAGTTTTTAAATTCATTTCCAGAAATGTACCATTCATGTTACAAACTAATGTCAACTTCCTTATCTGCCTTGATTAATCTTGCATCAGTTAATCTGCTTAGCTAATTTTCATTCTTTATAGGAATAGTGAGATGGTTGAAAAGCTGTTCGATCTAAATTATTATTTGTATTTTGATCAAATCCTAGTTTCTAGCTGGATTATTTTACTTTTTTATACTCTGCTTCTTTCAGTAAAGTGCTAATGAGTTAACTCTTACTACGATGCTTAATTTCTTTTTACCCCTCTAGATGTAATTGTTTATATAGTTGTTGTGTTCACCACAATAGAATAACCTTTTAATATTCAGGTTCCAGCTTCAAACCATTACAGTATGGTCTTTTATTTTGTGTCAAAACCACTAGTTCCTGGGTCATTGCTGCAGCATTTTGTTGATGGTGATGATGAATTCCGAAACAGTAGATTCAAGCTAATTCCCTCTGTTCCTAAGGTTATCCATGCCATTTTCTTTCTATTAAGTTGTGTGAGGCCTTTTTGGCATGTTTTGTGCTCTACTTCTGAGACCCGACATTTTTTTCCCAGGGTTCTTGGATAGTTCGTCAGAGTGTTGGAAGCACCCCATGCTTGCTAGGAAAAGCAGTTGATTGTTCCTATATTCGCGGACCAAAATATTTGGAAGTAAGAAAAAGGAAAAAAATTTTGATACACAAATTAGGATTCCTTTGATTACTGAAATGTCATCCTAGCATGATTTGGATCTTGAGATTCCTAACAGGGTTGGCTCTTGCAGATTGATATTGATATTGGTTCCTCTACTGTAGCCAATGGAGTACTGGGACTTGTCTTTGGTGTAATTACTACATTGGTAGTTGACATGGCATTTCTTATACAGGTACGCACTTTTTCCCTTTGTCCCAGTTAGAATGATAGCTTTGTTCACCTTAAAATGCTAGCTAAGCTCATTAAATTTTTTTTTTAAAATACTTTCTCACTATGCGTGCAAGTAATCATCAGTATTTTTAGACACCCAATTTTTTGTTGCGAGTTGATTACAGTATATATGCAAGAATTTAGTTATGCTGGAAACCAATGTAGTAAATGTGTTAAATTTATGGAACTTTTTTATATCCAAATTTGATGCATTAGCAGTAACTTACCAATGATTTTTATCAAGCAAACATATTCAAAAAAATAAATAAATAATTATGGATCACAAACATTGATTCTGTTTTGAGGTATTATCTGATGTCATGTCACCATGGGTTCAGAGTAGGTACATGACTGCAACATGGGACAATGAAGGGACCTATTCTCAATCTAATAGGCATATCCCGATACTTAAGGCTAAGAAAGTTGGTTTAATATTACAATAGAAGAAAACTTTCAATGGTAATTATTCAGTAGCAAGAGATTTGAAATATCATTTTTTTACTATAACAATAATGCTAAAGCTTGTAATTATGGAAACTGAAATATATTTACTAATTGAAAAGAAAGTTAAATAAGGTACAACTGAAAAACTAAATAAGTCTCTTCAGTCATCTGAAATAAAATAGACTACTGTAAGCATAACTAATACTTTAACGTAATTGGATCTATCATGGATGAAGTTGCTTAGGTGATGGTCAAATGAGCTTGATCTGCCATAATATTAAGAAGGGAGCTTGCAGGGTTAATTAAACAAGTAACATCTCTTTAACAATGCATAGGGCATGCAAAATGTGCAATAAATATGGAAGATATCGAGGATTAAAGTATAGCAATTAGAAATAACCATTATATAATTGAATAAAACCTAGCCAATAATTATTATTTTCATTCAATAGCTTTAATACCTCATTTCCTAAATCCCAATTGTCCATGCATGATGACTAAATTGGGAAATATCAACCAAATTCTTGAATCTTCCATTTGGTTTGATCAGATTATGCTTTTCGATTGGTTTGGGGATTATATGAATTGATTATGAACATTCGGTGCTCTCCATCCTCTATGTTCAACAATTTCCATCCTGTTGGCCTGACATGACATCAACTTGTCATCATGCCTTCGGCTGCTTGAATTTAGCCCACCGGTCTAACCATTATATGATCAACACCAGTTTGCCTTTGTTAAACCTCCACAAACTTACTAGTCGCCCTAGTCTGTCTGACTCTGTTAGGAAGTACTTGAATATCTCAAGTAAACCCTAACGATAGAGAAAAAACAGCAAGAAAACTCCACAAAACTAATGAAAAATCAGAGAAAAATGGTAATTTTATTGCAAGAACAGAACTAACAAAACAAAGAAAGCAAGATACAATTGATCCTCAATTCGAGAGGAGGATCGATCTCTCTCAATCCCTAGAAGAAGCTATGGCCCAAGAAACCAAGAACAAGACTCTGAATTCAGCCACAATAATCAAGCATAACCCTAACCCTAATCTTCTAATCTTATTTAAAGCAAACAATCCAAACCTCCTTAACCCTAATAAGACTCTGAATTCAGCCACAACTTTTCCTTGATTGAGCAGAATTTGAGCTTCATCAGGCCTAATTCGACTTTAATTGGCGTTAATTTGGGTTTGATCTCACAAAATAAATTGTAATATATTCAATTAAACCCAAATAGACTCAAGTAGAGTCAAATTGAGCCTATTTTAGGTTCAATTTTAAATCCAATGACTTTCTAGCTAGTTTGATTTCTTGTTATATCAGGAAATTGATCAAACGACTTGAATCAAACAGTTAGTTGACCCGAGGCTTTTGCTTGATATCCGCGATCTCCAGTGGCCGTAGCAGAGATACAGAGCAGTGACACAGGCCCTATTCGCGTGTTCTCGAATGACTAAAATGAGTAATGAAAAGGGTAGGCTTCCATTTTGAGCTGCGGCGTGCATTTCTACCGAAGCCTCTTTCATCCCGAAGCATTGACTCTAGTAGCTCGTGCTCACACGAAGAAGAAACCCTAGGATTTTCCTCTTGATTGGCAAGCACGGACCCCTCTCTCTAATGTAGAACGAACATGCGAAGATGAATTACTTTAAGGAATTTGCACACTTAATATTTCTAGAACAAATAATTATATCTTAATGGTGAATTTAAACGATACAATAAAACACAAAGAGCGGTAAAAAAAGCTTAGACCGAATCACACGCGTAAAAGTTGAGATCATAAAGCAATCAAGTTAATCTAACGTTGCATACATGATTGGTTTTCAACGATGATCCATAAACTAATAATGAGTTTAATTACTATAAGAATCCACTCACTCAATTACCTAATTCACTAGGTTATAGTGGATGAGAATTAACATTATCAATGTGAATCGACTAAACCATAATTGAGAGCGACTAGGAAGATAAGAAATTTGGGGAAGAGTTCACCATCGTCAAATTCTTAGATTTGATTTGAGGTGGGAGGGAGAAGATCCGGAGTCCGGTGGTTGATCTCGAAGAAGTCCTGCGTGTGGACAGCCGAATGGGATCTTCTGGGCAGCAAATGAGAGCCTTCTTCAGGATGGCGAATCAGCACTAGAAAACTGCTGGAATCTTGGAACAACAGCTGTGACTATTCAGGACGACAAACAGGGGGTTTTTGGAGAGCAGGGCAGCAGTTCAACTTACCGAAATCTCCTGGACAACAAGCAGAACTTCAGGACAGCAGCTTTGCTCTGGCTCATCGTCAGAATTTTCCGAATATGCAGAAGTCGACAGCTGTGTGAATACTCTCGGACAACATATGGGAGTTGCCGGACTGTTGAGCAACAAGGTAAGCTGGCTGGAATTCCTTCTGGACAGCCAAAAAAAAGGAAATCTTGGACTTTCGGACAGCAAAAGAACTTGCTGCAGCTCTCTGGACAGCTCCTCGTGGATGAACAGAGGTTGAATAGTAGTGGTGTGCTGGTAGAAAATTCCTCCCTTAGTCACGGTTTAGGGAAGGGTAGGATTAGGGGATGGCTTTCCAGAAAAGGAAATCTGAAAATAGTTTTAGATTTTGTAGCTTGTGGTGGAGGGAAAAATCTGAAGTTATTTTCAAATTTGTCTTAGTTAGGAATTTGAATCTTGAAATTCAAATAAGAGAGGAAGAAAAGGACAAGGGGTGTTTAATTATTTCCCCAATTGAAGCCTTCAATAAGGAAGGAAATAATTAAGCAAGAGGGGAAGAGGGGCCGGCCATAAAGAGAGAGGGAGAGAGGTTTTATTTTCAAACCTGAAATTAATTTCAGGATTTGAGTGAATTGGGAGGGAAACTAATTTGAAATTTGATTTCAAATTAATAGGTAATTAATGCATTGATTGGAGATTAATGGGATGAAGCCATACATGAGGCCGGCGGCATGGAGCGAGAGGGAGGGAATTGGGGAGGAGTTTAGGGAGTTTCCAAACAAGGTTTATGAATTAGGAAAGCTATCATTAAATTCAATCTATTTTGAATTTAGATTGAAGTCATGACTAATACTTCCCTAATTAGGCATTCTAAAAATGGAAAGAATTTGAAATTCAAAATTTGAATTTCAATTGGAATTAAATCCTTCCAATTTTCATGTATAGCATGAAAAGTTAAGTTGGTGATGGGTGTTAACCATCACTATGCATAAATGCAATTAGTTCAAAGTTTATTTGTGAGATTTTCAATCATAATTTCTCTGTTAAATTTTTCTGTTCTAAGTTTGTTATGAACAGCTAAATTTCACTTATAAATTTCCCTTGGTGTGATATTTTGCAAGTCTCAAAGCCGCTAGATAATGTATCATTTCAGATGCCTCATATATAGTTTGCCTTAGTGAAAACTCACCCATGTTTCAACCCAAGTATATCATTGCATGTTGTTAACATATTATAACAAAAGAGGGAGATATGTGATTGAGATGAAAACTTGAGACTTTTGTAGGAAAATATGTAAAAAAAAATGTATTCGACATATTTATAAAAAAGAGACTCGTGAGCAAGATATTTATAACCCCATTTACTTGTACCAAACCTTTGTATAACTTCTTCATTGCATGATTGACATTTGATTTGAGATATCTGTTTATGAATGACTCGTTTGGTTGCCTCTTTCACAGTATTGAGAAAGCATCTTGGTAGCAAAGTAGGGAAACATGCTCTTTCTTGGAAATACGAAAAGAGGAATGAATATTTATGTTGATATTGAATTATTCTTGATTTGCTTTACTTATTGCCGTTTGTGATAGAACAATACTCTCCAACATTTTGTCAAATTTTTTCTCGAAGCTAGCTATTTATGTTTATAATTTAACAAATTAATTTAAATTTAAAATGATTAACAAATAAATTAATTACAACTAAGCATTTCATGGATTAAGCCAAACTCTTACTTTTTTGTTTGATTATAGTGAAACCTTTACTCCCTCCCTCCCTCTCTCTCTCTCTCTCTCTCTCTCTCTCTCTCTCTCTACACAATGGTTGTAATCTAGAAAGTCAAGCTATTTAAAATCTCGTGCCTCTTCTGTTTGTTTGATTCTACCACTATCTCTTTCTCTACCTTTTTGTCTCCTCTTTTTCTCTTTATTAGGAGGTAGCTCAACTTGACAGCTCCTCCCACCCTCCACTGGAACACATATTCTTCCATCTGTTTTCCATCGGTAATGCTCGCTTTGTTTTCTTGAATCAACAAAGATTATGCATATCATCTTAACAGGATATCAATGCATGTGCAATTCAGATTAAAAATGTTCATCCACACCATAAATACGTATCTATATACTTTATATATTATAAAGCAAAATATCATAAGAATTGTCCATTACTAATGTATATTTTTACTCGATATCCAGTAGTTCTCTAATCTAAAAGGTTTGGATTTGATAAAGTTCTTTAAAAGATCTCCACTTTTTCTATAATGCTCGTTGGGTATCTTGTAATATATCAATTTACCTTTCATAAGTGTCAGGCTACCGACATTTGTCAAGCACACCAATGTAGAATAAATACATGATATGACCTTAGCAAAGTGCAATAATTGTGATAACCTACAAGTATAAATGACCTTGATATGACATCAGGACTTCTAAGGTGATATGCAAGTAAATGGAAAGGATACTTTCTTTTGATCTATTAATGACATGCATATTGATCATGCAATAATAACAATACTGATACAGTTAATTAGTACAATGTATAATCTTGCTGTTATTTATATGCACAAAGCGATACATATATTAGCTAGAAATTAGTAATTTATATAACTAAACTAAAGCATGAATTAGTAAGTATATCGTAACAGAAGCCTTATAATAAATATCAAAGGGAAATAACCCTAATATGAATTGCTCTGCTTATCTCCTAACAAGTAAAAATCACCTACATCAGGTGCAATGGTTGATTCAATGCTTCTTTAAGCTCCATTGAAACTACACCAGTTGAGTACCAACCCTCCAACTCCCTAAATAATAAGTCTAATAGGTATGCATTCATAAGTACATTTATCTAAGAGGTTATGTGATTCTCTGATATCAATTATGAAATGTAATATTATTATCAGGTGTTAGGTGATTTGTTAATAATAATAAAAAAAAAAATAAATGAAAAATGCCAAATAAAAATTAAAATTAAAAATAAAAAAAAAGGTGTTAGGTGTTTTGTCACTAACATCTTGAAACTAAGAAAATAAAGAAAGAATATTCATGTCCTCTTTTGGTGACATTTAGATATAAGGTCAAATTCATAAACATGTTATGTTTGACTATTCAACTGCTAAAATAAATTTAAAAAAAGAAGAAGATCAAGTTAGTTCATCTTTATATATAATATTAGGATTTTAAGTGAAGTGGCATTAAATCAAACACACTGCATTTGAAAGATAGAACTTAACTCAATAAAACTACCATATAGATAAGATTATCGTCTAATAAGATCGAACCAAATAATCTCTAAATTAAATTAACAAAAAAAAAATCGGTGATCCTTTGTTAAAATACATTGAAATTAAGGACTAAAATTATAGTACGAGTTTATTTGAATTTCATAATTTTGGCGCAAGTTAACCAAAATTGGTAAAGACTCTATAGTGGAATAATTTATGTTAGATACAACTGTAATTGATCTAAGCGATACTATCCTAATTTCATCATGCAACAATCTAATAACACAGCTATTCTTTAATTTAACCTAACTTATCTGTAATTATATCATGCTCAGTTAAGTAATGAAATATTGTTAAATCAATCAATAACAAAAAATATAACATTCAAACCACCACATCAACATAGCCTGGTAGAGAATTAGGAGATAATAAGGGAAACAACTTCTCACTTATCGTCTCTGTTCTCGGTGTATGGAGCTCTTGTTATCCCCTTTTATTTTGGTTTTCCAACTCTCTTGAACGAACTTACTGAAAGTGAGTACCACTCCATTTAAGATGCATAATTATTTCTTACCCGTTGTGCATCAAAGCTTCTGCCTGCTCTAAATTTCTTCCATCTTTCAACTAAAAATTCTGTGCAGTGCTTCAGAATCTCCCATTACATTTTGTTACTGCTTCAGTTTCCTGCAAAATCTGATCTACCTTCCTCTTATTCTAAAATTCTCTGAAACAGGCAAACACTTACGAGGAGCTCCCTGAGCGGCTCATCGGAGCTGTTCGCGTTTCGCATTTGGAACTTTCTTCCGCTACTGTTCCACTGCTCGAGTCGAGCCCAACACATAACTGAATGAGGCGTTAAACTGCTGATCTTGCAATCCAAATTCCTTCAACCTTTCTGGCTCATTAAGGTTTCATTTGGGACGGTTTTTTTACTGCTTCTTGAAGGAAGCATGATCAGTTTAGCAAGACTGCATCGTTCAACTATAATGTTGCAGCAGGAAAATTCCTTCTCCGGTTGTGCTAAACCAGTAGCGTAAAAAGGTAAGATGTTCACACAAGTCATCCTTCATCACAAGTGTTTTAGAGCTCTGCCTGCGCTAAAGACCTCAGGGCCTTCGCGCTGAATAATACATTCTATCCGTTGCACTGCAAATATTGGAACTTGGGGCTTTAAAACTGTTTTCCCCCTTTTATTATTTTAGTTCTCTTTCTTTCTTTCTTTGCAAAGTCCAGCGTCAATGATGTAAAATATAGCAAATTTTATTGTGTACAAAAAAAAAAGAGCTAATGATGTTGATGAGTGCGTGAAAAAAGAGTGATTACTTTGTGATAGAAATCTGAAGTTTTGGATCATCAGCTTATACGAATCTTCAATGTTTCCTTAATTTATTTTATTATTTTGCATTTGTTCCTCCTTTTTCATATTGTTATACTTAATTGCATTATTAAGTTGTTTTGTTTTTTAATGCAAAAATTTCTAATTAAAAAAAATTATATTAAAAAGTTATTTTAGAAAGCAGTAAGAAAGTTGTCTCAAATGAAGCCTTAATTATAAAAAAAAAAATTCGAAAGCAGTTTATTTTTGTGTGGTCAATTTAATCTTAAAATATTACATTGCTTTACTTTATTTTTTATTCTATATATAATTGATTTAAAATGATTTCTCATATTATATTGTGATATAAAATTAATCTCAATTTACTTTCTCAATTTTATAAAATTGATTCTATTTTAATCTTAAAAAGAATGATTTTGAATTAATTTTATATAATCAGTGATTAAATTAAAATAATGTGATTTGTCAAGATTAAATTCATCGTATATGAATAATTAGATCATTATTTTTAAGTTTACTCCTTTAATTTCGTCAGACTCGAATGTTTAAATCACATCCAAAATACATTTCGATATAAATTATTTTATAGTAATTTTCATGTAATAATATTTGATAATAATGAATTCAGTTGAAGTACTACACGCTAAAGTATTTTATATTTTTAAAAATATAAATAAAAAGCTTTTGAAATCAGTTTACTTAATAAGTTTGTTAAAATTGGTCAATATTATTAATTTTGCAATGTAATATTATTAGATATGGGACAAATCTAAATAATAAAAAAATAATCTTAATCAGTATTTTATTAAAAAATTTATATTACAAACTCAGCTCAACAAAATTTCTCACCAATAAGAGTCCAAAACCGCCCCCTCGGATTCCAATAGCGTATACGCGAAACCAAAGTTTGTTTTTTTCCGGTTCAGAAATAATTCTTCATTGGAGAAGCCCCCAAATTCCTCTACTGATTACTTTCATTATATCTTTTCAACACTGCCATCTCATGGGCAAATTATTGTGTCCGGTGTCCGGATTCGTCCGGACACCAATAAAAATGTTCTACATCACTCAAAAATAATAGGGCCCAGTGCATTCGGATGAGATGATGTGTCCGAATTAGATGTCCGCATGTCAGATGACCGGACGAAATAATTTGCCCATATCATATCTTTACCAATAAATCAAATGGTTGTTTGAGACGACGCATAACAGCTCATTCTCCCCCAAATTCTTCTATGGTTTGCTTCCATTCTATATTTTTTCCTGTGTTCTCTTCATCTTCTCTACATCTGGAACTGGCTTTCTCCCCAAAATCCTCATCTGATCAATACAAAATCGTCAAAGATCCTTCCTTTTTCGAAAACCCACCGAGTTTCAGAAGTTTCAGAATCACCAGATCCATCAAACCCCACCATCAAAGATGCCATCACCGTCTAAAACACTACCGGCTCTCCTCTTCCTGTTAACTCTCCATCTCTCCCTCTCCCTCTCATCGGACTCCCCCTCCGCTTATGAAATACTGGAGGGATTCGGCTTCCCTAAAGGAATTCTTCCAGAGGGAGTGACTAGCTACCACTTAGACGACGATGGCGGCTTCCAAGTGCTTCTATCTTGTGACTGTGAGCTCCGTGTGGAGGAAAGCGGGTATCTGCTCAAGTACGGGAAAAAGATAACGGGAAAGGTGAAGTCGGGTCAGCTAAAAGAGCTTAATGGTGTTAGCGTTAAAGTTGTGATGATTTGGTTTGGGATTAATGAGGTGGTGAGGAAGGGAACTGATCTCTTCTTCTACGTTGGGCCACTCTCAGCTTCCTTCCCTTCGTCCAACTTTGAAGAGTGCCCCAAATGCGACTGTGGTTCCAGATTTTCTATTGCTATGGTGTCAGATTCTTAGGCTTCTTCAAGTGCTGGTGATGTCTACTCATGCTTTCATACTTTAAAGTTTTGTTTATGAATAAGTTTGTTATCTGTTGAATGATTTGATGCAAGAATGCAAGTTGATGTTGCTTCAATTAAAAGTTGCATGTTTCTTCCATTGCATTGAGGTGTCATTGAGCAAAAATTATTGTGTGCGGTGTCCGGACGCGTCCGAAGGTCAATACGGATACGCCACGTCACCCAATACACAGTATATTGGGTGATGTGGCACGTTGCATTCGGATACCGCACAGAATAATCTCCCTCCATTGAGGGGGTCTGGCTTTGGTGGCTTTGGTCATGGTTACATGATATAGGATTCATTTGGGACAATATTTAGCTATAATTTTTAATTTTGGGTTATTTGTTTTGGTGAGAAGGAACTATTTGGAAATTGATGTATAATTTTTTTTTTTTTTTTGGGAAAAATGGGGGCAAAGCCCGTATATTAATCACCAAAAGTTACAAGCAACTCACATTACAAGTATAGAAACTATACAACCAAAAGATAACAACTGAAAAGGAAATTCCTTAAAAGAGCTAATGGACTCAGGAAAAAAGGTCTACAACACAAAGGCATCAATGCCTAGATCATAATAGAAAACCACGAAGCCAACAATAGAGACACAGGTTGCCCGAAAAGCAGCTTTGCCGGACCATCACATTGCCCAAAACGCAATCCTGATTGCCATAAGACCCTCTAAGGATGCATTAGAGATGTAGACATTGCACATCATCATCCCAAAATTCAGAAAAAACATCCATCCAAAGAAGAAACTGGGAGAAACTGAGGAAGCGAAAACTTCCTAAGGCCCAGATAGATACAACCATCGTGGAGATGCCAAAAACCACAACAGAGAATATACAATCACAGCCAAGCCAAAAAACCCCCAGCTGTGAACAAAAGAAGAGCCCTCCAGATTTGGCAATATCGACCAACCATAAAAAAACCTCCAGCCAACAACCGCGAGGGGCAAATCAGCCCTGAATTTCCACAAAATGTTCTTTAAGGAGCTCATAATGTTTTCACTGCCTAGATTTAGCTCGTATAGCATGAATGATAACACTTTTTAATTCATTAGGACTTCTCCTATCTCTGGAAAACCTCCTATTGTTCCTTTCTCTCCATAAATAATAAACCAAAGTAGCCAATGTAAAAAAATAGAAATTACGATCAATTCTGCCATAATTCCACATACTCCCCAAGAAGTCATAAACTTGTAAAAGGTTAGGCCTCAGACAAAAATTAACCGTCAAAGGGAACAAGGCAATGAGGATTGAAAATGAAAAATCACATTAAGAAAAAAACATGTGAATGAGTTTCCTCCAGGTTCCCTATGTAGAAAGAGCAGGAGGGGTTAGCCAGAATCCCCCTTAAAATTAGATTATCAGCCGTTTTGAGCTTCCCTATCATTCCCATCCAAGCATAACAGGTATAACGTAAGGCATAAACTTTGTGCCAAATATATTTAGTCCAAGCCACATCATCATAGTGAGAGTGAAAAAGAGCCATAAAATTCCTGGAAGAGGGACTTGGAGAGCCATCCCAAGTAAGCACCGGTTGCTCACCAACAATGTCAGTATTCAAAATAAAGGATTTAACATCAACAGGTAAAAAATCAGGGAGCGCCCAATAGTTTTGATAAATGAAATCCCTAACCCACAAATGAGAAAATCTGTGAGAATAAAAAATTCCCGAAATAGCTTTCTTATTGCACCAAGGATCCCAAAGGAAAGAGAGATTGCAATTCCAGTGAATAGAGAGGAAAACGACAGAGCTAATGGAAACTGTCGTGTGACAAAATAATTTCGAAAATTTAGAAGCTGTAATAGGGGGCAACTTCCAAAGAGAATCATACTTCTCCCTCTACCAAGAGCCAATCAAAGTATCATAGTTGTACATCCTAAAAATAAATGAACAAGCCATATTATGATAAAGAGAATCAAATGATGGCAGGTCAAGTGTCCCTTTGCATTTAGGTAAAGTCACAGATTTCCAAGCAATGAGATGCATCCTCTTCTCCATGGTGTTACCAAAGAAGATGAACTTGGAACAAATTTTAGAGATAAATTTGCAGCATGCCTTAGGTAAAATCGCACCACGGATCCAATAGGCAATAGTGTTAGCAATAGTGAATTTCAAGTATTGCACTCTACCTACAAAAGAGAGAAATTTAACTTTCCAACCCTCAAGTAGAGTAGAAATTTTACTCAAAAGGGGTTGTAAGTGAGAAAATTTGAGTCTACAGGTAGAAATGGGAAGGCCCAAATAGGTAAGAATATTTTCAACCCGAGAAATTCCAAGACAAGCAGAAATCTATTGCTCACTAGGAAAATCCCTAGAGAAAAGAATGGAGCTTTTAAAAGGGTTAATATGAAGACCAGAGGCATCAACAAACTTGTGAAGTATATCTTTCAGGGAATTAGCATTATCAACAGTGGCTAAGCCAAAAACCAATAAATAATCAGCATACATGAGATGATTAGTACTGAACTTATGATTCTGCATTTCAATGAAGGAGTGATGATCCTTGGAATCCAGGTTGGAAGAAAGAGCATCCATAATAATGCAAAAGAGCACACTATTAAGACAAATAGAGAAATAAACTTCAGAGATACACCCATTAATCCACGTGATAAAAGTCTCCGGAAAGCTTTTTTTCTTAAGTCTATTAATCAGGAAGGTACGGGAGATAGAGTCAAAAGCTTTCTTGATGTCCAGCTTGGCACAAAAATATTTTTTGTGCCCTTTAAAATCTCTCAAAATCTCAGAGGCAAGAATGATGTTGTCAGTAGAGCATCTCTTAGCAATAACTAGACTGGCTCTCATGAATGATGGTGGGAAGGATGGGTTTCATCCTATTAGCAATAATCTTGGCCATAATTTTATAAAACACATTACATAATGAGATAGGACAAAAATCAGATATAGAGTTGGAATGAGTACCCTTAGGAATAACGGTGATGGTCATGGCTTTAGCACCTCTAGGCATTTGCCCAGTATAAAAGAAATGTTTAACAGCTCTGCAAAGTTGAAAGCCAGTAACGTGCCAAGTAAGTTGGTAGAAACCAAAAGAGAAGCCATCCGGATCTGGGGCAGAGATAGGGACCCCTACAAACACCACCTTCTTGATTTCCTAATTAGTGAACAGGTCAACCAGACCCGCAATTAAATGGGGTGGGATAGTATTACCAACAGGGATATTAAATGAGCTTTCCAAAAGTTGGGTAGGAGCATTATAAAGAATCTTAAAATGGTTAATCAGAGCTTGGGCCATATCAGAATGTGAAGAAAGTAACCCAGAAGGAGAAGGAAGTTCCTTAATAACATTTCTGTTTTTCCTCGATCTAATCTTGGCGAATAGGAAACCAAGATCATCCTCCCCTTGGGAAAGTCAATGGGCTTTAGCTCTTTGAGAAATCCAAGATTACCAAGCAGCTTGAAAGGAAGCTAACTGGTCATTAGTGTTCTTAAGAGAAGAGTTCAATGCAAGGTTTAAAGGGTCCCTTTGAATATCAGATAAGCATTGAAAATGTAAGTTCTTCAGCTCAAGTATGCCATTAGAGATGTAATTAGAAGAGCGCCAATTCTTATTACGAATTACATCCTTGAGATATCTCAAACAGTCATAAAAGGAAGCGATGGGGCTAGCACAAGTTGGCCTCTCAAAAGCCAATTGGGTTTCCTCCCAAAATTCATCCAATTTAGTCCAAAATTCTTTAAACATGAACCTGGAAGCCGTTCTCCTGATATGGGAAGCATAAAGAATCAGGGGGGCATGATCAGACCTAGAGTGGGAATCAACTTTGTAGTAAGCAGCAAGGAAAACATCTAAAAAGGCATAATTAACCAACATTCTGTCAAGCTTTATATGGATTGGAGAATCAATCCTTTAATTAAACCACATATAGAATAACCCCATAGAAGCAAGGTCCTGAACTCCAGATTCAAAAACAAAATTATTAAGCTCTCCTACTCGGTCAGGAGACATAGAGTTACCACCAGCTTTTTCACAATCGAATCTGTAGCAATTAAAATATCCCATGATGATCCAAGGGATGTCAATACGGGCAGAAAGGTCAAGGAGATCACCCCAAAGAACTTTCCTTTCATCCAAACTATTAGCAGCATATACCACCGAGAGGTAGAAAGGGGGTAAGGATCCAGCATCAACAAGGCCATGAATGGCTTGTGAAGAGGAGAAAGAAGGGGAGAAGGATAAATGAGAAGAGTCTCACTTAACCCAAATTCTACCAGGAGTAGAAAGGTTAAAGTTATCACAACTTTTCTTATTCTCAAACAAAGCATGGGTAAAAGTAAACCACTGGTCAGCAACAGAAGAAAGGTTGATTTTAGCTTCTAAAATACACATAAGCTTCAAATTGTAGGCGACTATAAGGTCTTTGCATAACTTGACTTTGACAGGGTTATTAAAACCTCTAACATTCCAAGCCACAATCGGTGGAAGGGACATGGTTATTTGTGGGGTTTGGCCGATTTAGTTTTGGCTTTTTTCGGGGGAGATAAGTTATCTCCAGATGATTTTTTTGAGGAGGAAGAAGCTTTGTGATTGGAGGATTTAGGAGGAAGGACCTCATAAGTTTTGGAGGAGGAAGAGAGTTCCTCCTCAAAGGAATTCTCTTCAGGAATAATCGAGTTGTCCACAAGAAGCGAATCAAAACTATTAGTTAGAAGAACTTGAGAGGGAAGCAGAAGTTTTGGAGGAAGGGGGAATTCAGAAGAAGAAGAATCAGCATGTGGAAGGTTAAGTTTTGGAATAAGAGGGTCCTTATCTTGGATGAAATCAAACGGCAACTGCAGTGAAGTATCAGCGGGGGGCTGAACCAGAGGAACGACAACAGGAGAAACGGTAGTAGAAACGGGTTCAGAAGGTTCAGCAGGTGTGGAAGAAGCTGGTGGGGGAATTTGAGGAATAGTCTCTGTGACTCGAGAAGAGGATCTGGCAGTCTTAGAAGCAGGATTCCTACTTTTGCTCTTGCCACGAAAAACGGGTTTAGGAGGGAGAGAAGGTTTGGGAGCTGGATTCGTGTGGTAGAGCACAAAGGGGTGAATGAGAGATCCACATTCCTCACATCTTAAAGGCTTCCAGTCATAAA